TTGTTTCTTTCCTCCATCCACCTATACCATTTATCCCATATCTGGTAGAATTCTGTTTCTTCCTTTCCCTGGATTTCTTTAGCCAGTTTGTTCATTTCGGCACAGTCCATACCCTTTCTTATTATTTCATCTTCGCTTGGGATTAATTTGTTTTTCCATTTCTGGGCAAAGGCAATCCTTGCCACCGTAATAATATGTAGTATTAAATACTGGATTTCTTTTTTGTGTTTTGCAAACATTATTCCTAATTAAAAAAACTTCAGGTTTCCATTCTATTTTAACCCCTGTTATTGCCTCCAGCCAATTTCTGATCCTTTTCCAAAAAAAATTTGCCTCCTCACGGGTCCACCATAAATGGTAATATGTGTATTGATTCTCATTTCCAGCATTTTGGGGAGGTATTTGTTAAAATTTTAGCTAACCTTGTTGGTGCCAGGTGCCATCTGTAAAACATTGTGTACTGGTTTTCCTTGTATGCAACTGATAGTGTCATTTTAAAATTTATTCCCCAAAATTTTTCCCATTTGTCTTAATTCAATATTATAGCCAAAGTTCTGTGCCCATTTTATCATTTGTTCTTGCATTACAGTATCCTGATTGCCAACCAACTGGAGATGTTGGGGGTTGCATTCCCACCTTTCTGAAGTGCCTGAAAAGTAAGTGGTGATGGATATATACCATACGGCAGGATTCACAGCAACGCAACATTTTTCAACGTGTCAGTGTTGGGGCTGCCCTTGAGCCACCAGCTAAACTTGCTGATTGTAAAATTGTTTATAAACCCTTTCCTAATAAAATCCAAGTATTAAGTTAATGTGTTAATCTCTAATGGGTGGACCACATTTTGGAAATTGTGAAGGTGTTGGAACAACCTTCACAACCTGGTGTTTCCAAATTGTGTTGGAGATTAATTTTTTATTATTTGCTTGTGTAACAATTGAGGATTATGGGATTGGTGTATCTGGAGGTCACGCATACGAAATGGCCTTATGGCGCATTAGCCCCGAAGAATTGTATGCTAGGAGTATTACATGGGTGTTGTAAATGTATACATTGAACTCATATGCTTAATTTTGATGTAGGATGATTTATAAAACCTAAGGCTTTGTAAAAGATATTAGCTTTGAAAGGTTTTTTTTTAACCTATGATTGCTTAATGTATAGTTTAATGGAAACTTTATATTCAGAAACAATGTACACTTAAATATTGGAAGCCAGCAACAGGGGAGGAGAGTCAACTTCATTCCCTGCTTTTAGCATTTTAGAGGCCTCTTGGTAACCCATCTTTGTGAGAGAGCGGCCAACAAATTTAATAAATAAAAACAAATAAAGTTATAGTTGTAAATGAGAAGAATTAATTCAGATCCAGAATTTAAATTTTTGTGCTACCTCTACCATAACTTTTTTAAAAGCTTCATTATTGCATATTTAGACTGTTGCTAAGCAATACAAAAGGTCTCACAATGCTCAGAGGCATGGCATTATGTATTCATTGCATATTCCATATTGGAATCAAAAGCAGGTGGTTTTGCTGAGACTAGCTAGCTATGGCTTGCATGCTCCCAAAAGTGATGTTTTTTTTTTCATTTCAAGGGAACCCTAGAAATAACATTCTCTAGTTTTTCTCCTAGACTATCACTCTTGCCTGACTAAATCACTATCACCATGGTAAGTGGATGCAGGATTTTGAATCAAATCCACAACTGCAATTTCTCTTCCTTCATTTTTTAACCTCATGAGGATAGATCCAACTCCTTTTGCAACGTATATAATTACAGCTTACACTTAATAGCATTTATGCAATCTCACACGAAACTCTTTATTTCACAATCAGGGCCTTCGTGGAAATTTGATTTTTCTACAAATACAATAGTAGCTGTCATGGTGCTGTCTATGCTGCCAAATAGGATCCAGTCCTTAATTTGCAAGAGTCCCTAGAGCTTGTGGCCTCTTTTGTCAGATTGTGATGACTATAAATGAAATAATGAGAAATACTTATTAAAGGGCTGCTTCCTATTTGGTAGTTTGGAGGCTGAATCTGTAATGGTACCATTTGTATAAATTAACCTACCTCAGTCTGGAGAATGTTTGTGCCTTTCAAATTGCTCGATTTACTTGAGATTTGAAAGAGACACCTATAACAATAGAAAAAGAAAGGGAGGGAAGAAGGAAGGAGAGGAGAGCAGGAAGGAAGTAGTGAAAGGAGGGAAGAAGGAAGGGAAAGGAGAGAAGGATGGAAGGGAGAGAAGGAGAGATAGGGAAGGAAGGAAGAGTGGAGGAGAGGTAAGGGAAGAAGAAAGAGATAAGGAAAGGTGGGTGGAAGGGAGAGTAAGAGAAGGAGAGGAGGGAGGAAGGGAGAGAAAGAGAAGGAGAAATAGTAGGAAAGGAAGAGGAAGAGTGGAGGAGAGGCAAGGGAAGAAGAAAGAGATTAGGAAAGGTGGGTGGAAGGGAGAAAAAGAGAAGAAGAGAGGGTAGGAAGGGGAAGAGAGAGTAAGAGTAGGGGAGAGGTAAGGGAAGAAAAAGGGAAGGAAGGAAGTAGAGGAGGAAGGGAGAGAGAAAAGAAAAGAAAGAGAAAATAAAGTGGTGTCATAACAGACACTAGGGATGGTAAACAATACAATCCAAACTGTACCCTATAATCTCTTAAATGGAATAACAATAGTATAAGATTGGCAAAGAAAAAGAATAACCATGTGAATGTTTACCTGGAATTGTATGTATATATAGCACATTATAGATAAACAATATTTGGTTATAAATAGCTAACTATAGAAAGGGAAAACACTAACTGCAATGAAACATATACGGAACTGCTGTATGATATATGATGGAACTTCTTGTTCCTATGTTGTCTTAAGTCGTGTGTTTGTTCTTGTTGATGTGTTTATATGTGTAAAATAAAAACTTTTTTAAAAAACCAAATTGCTCAATTTACTATCAACCAATATGGCTTTGCCTTTGGTTTCTCACAGGGGGAAAGGAAAGGAGTCAACAAGTATTACCCACCTGATTTTGATCCAGCCAAGGTAAGAGGTCCATCTGGTATGTTGGAGTAGCTTGGGATATTGGGTCATTACAAGGAATTTAAACAAATAGGGCTTATGCAGGATAACCTCCTGTTGGTATATTTACAAGCTAAGATACAGAGTCAGTGTTTGAATGGTGTCAGAACACTTCAATAAGATAAAATGGAATTAAATGTAAATGTAATGTAGAATTAAACTTTCTGGATTCTGTTTTTATGTATAGTTGTTTAATTGAAATATCGACATAAACAGAAAAGGAATTTCAGCCTTTTAGGCTATCCCCCCCCCCCCCATACCACGGCCAACAAATGCTTGTTAATTGTCCACCAGATAAAGGTGGAAAGATTCATGGAAGTATCTTATGTACAAGAAGCTTAACACCGACTTTATCTATCTTGCAGCATGGCTCCCTTAACAAATATCGCAATAGCCATCCGTTGCGGGAAAGAGCTCGTAAACTGTCCCAGGGTATCCTCATCATCAGGTAAGGCCACCTAGCCACATACTTAGAGCAAGAACTCTTGGGTTGCTGGAGGCAAGAAATGTTGACTACATCCTAGTCATAGCAAGGGAACATCGGAAGCAGTTCCCTTTCTATTCTGATAGGGCTTGTTCTCCCACTAAGTAAAATTCTGAATGTTTCTGCAACATGCATGAACATGTCACTTCTTTCCCAGATTTGAGATGCCCTATAATATTTGGTGTGATGGCTGCCAGAATCACATTGGGATGGGTAAGTATGGATATATCCCTCAAAACAGTCCAGTTTATAGGTAGTGATTGGAGTTACATGCAGGAGAAAAAACTATTACTGTGTGACCACCATTTAGTAGTTAATGTAAAGTGATACACATCACTCAGTTTGATTAGATTTCCAAACAATATTTGAAATTCCCTTACAGATTTTTGACAATTTATCCAGTGTCTTGTACCAACAATCTTATCAGTTTATAAAAGTTCTCTTAAGCTTGTAATTCAATGTAAATTTCAGCCTTACTCTCTCATTAGCCCAACTGTGTTTTAATTTTTTTGCCCATTTTATCATACAGTCTTTAACTTGTTGGTCCTCAGTTTCCATTTTCAGTTAAGAGTTAATAATTCAGTGAGAATTAATAATTCAGCGAGAGTTCCTAATAATAATATGTTTATCATTTGCAGGGAGCTCTACATCAAATTCAGTGTTACCCTTTTCATATTCATAATTCCTTTTATCCAACTTAAATCTTTCCATTAGCTGAATGTAAAAATACTAATAGTAAAACCTTCCCAGCTCCACGTTTTCTCATTTTAAGTTAAACTTAAAAAAAATCAAGTTAGCATAAGTTAATCATTTTTGTTTAACTGTAATTTCCCTTCTTAAAAGGCTTCTTGGGGTGACAACTTTAAAGAGATTTTATGAAATAGTTTTGCCTTATATCTATTCTAAATTCTCAATATGGCATGTCAAAAAATGGTTTTTGAAATCTACATTAACCTTAATTTTGTCATCCCACAAATAGTTTTGTCATCCAAATGCTAAATCATACTCTTCCAATTGCAATAACCTCTTATTTCTTAAAGTCACCTACTCTTTCATCCAAACTAAACAACAAGCTTAAAATATAATTTCAAACACGATACTCCCAAACTCACTCACTCTTTAGTATCCTGCCGGAATTTATATTTAATTCTGTTTCTTTTTTTAAAATTTTATTTAATTTTTTATTTTCAAAACAAACACAACACAAAGAATCCTCCTTCTTTACATACTGTAGAAAGTGTNAAATTCCTTATGCAAAAGAGGCCCCTAGTTCTCTGGCCTCCTCCTATGGTTAACACAAAGCACTGTTCCAAGTCACTGTGAATCTGGCAGCAACTACCTTGGCTTTAATTATTTTTTTAAAATTCTTTAAAATTCTTTCCTTTTCCTCATGACTGGTGAGGCCATGCCTCCCTTGCCTCTAGTGACTGCACGTCCCTGATATGTGATCACTTATTATTGAATAAATTACTATTGGCTGATCAGGGTCAGAAATAGGCCTGATCCAGCTTGGAGTGGAGAGAAAAAAATGCCTCCTCTCCACACAAGCACTCATGGGAAGGACAATTGAACAGAGATTCCAAATGCTGCCAGTTCCTCCATTCTAAGCCCCCTTCTACTACTCTTCTGGTCACATGACCCAGAGTGAACCATGTGCCATCTGCCTTGTGCTTCCGGTGCACATAAATGCCACATGAAAACAGTATCCACCTTGATTACATACTCCCACGTACCCATATGTATGCACCTGCCCCAATTAGGTCCTCACATATACACAGAGAGAAAACATGTTTTTTTTTTCCTTCTACAGAAATATAATTCACTCTCTCTTGGGGCCATGAGTGGCAAAGGGGCTGAAAAGAATTTCTGAAACCATGCTCTGCAGGCTTTCTCTGACTTGTTAACTGACAGCACAACTTAGTTGCACTAAGACACTGGACAAAATCTATAAAGGAGTCATGGTAAAGTTTGCACCTCAACTGACGAAGAGGTCTGCTAAACTTTGATTGAACTGGGATTGGCTACTGGAGCATCTTGAAAAGTATTATTGAAATGATTTTTCACAAATGTTATTGGGAATCGTAACCGATAAGCAGTGAGCAATATTTGCTCTCCCTTCCAAAGTTAGTTTTAAAAATATTATTTGTAAAAAAAGGAAATAATCTTATATGCATCGTTTGTAAACTATTCTGTTTTATATGAATAAAAATGATCAAATATTAAAGAATTCCCCTTGGAACCCAAATTAGGCTAGATGCCTAACCTTTATCTGAAGAGTTTTTAAAAATGTTATGTGCAAGAAATTTTATCACACCCAATTTTTTTTAAATGCTAAACCCAGTTGTTTGATGCAGCCTAGGCTACATTTTTAGGCAATCCTGAGTCAGAATAAACACCCCCTAAACTCAATCGGAGAGCCAGTTTAGTGTGGTTAAGTTACTAAACCAGATACATGGGAGACTACGAGTTCTAGGCACAAGACCAGTGACCTTGGGCCAGTCACTTTCTTTCAGCCCTGGGAAGAAGACAACGGCAAGCCTCTTCTGAAATCTTGCCGAGAGAAAACCAATTTTCTGTTATTCCAAGCAGTCGCCAAGACTCCAAAGCACACCCCTCCCCCCCAAAAAACCCTCACCCCACAAACCCTTCAATAGGGACTTATTTCCTAACGAAATGCACGCCGGAGGCTAGCTGTAAACATAATTGAATATTAAAGCTACAAACATAAGATATATCTGTGTAATAAAAGTCCCTCCATTAGATTCGGATACGAAGACAGCAACGTTCCGAATTGCTCTACGGCAGGGGTCTCCAAGCTTGGCAACTTTTTAAGACTTGTGGACTTCAACTCCCAGAATCCCTCAGCCACCAATGCTGGCTGAGGGATTCTGGGAGTTGAAGTCCACAAGTCTTAAAAGTTGCCAAGGTTGGAAAAGGTACGCCTTCGCCGACTCCAACTCCTCCTCCCGGGTTATTTGACAACAATTCCCATAATCCCAGGCAGGGCTCTTGGCCCCTGCCGCCACTGCCTTTTTTTGTTGCCCAAAGGATTCAAAGAACTACCTCCTCCTCTTCTCGGACGCTTGCCGGCAGAAGCGACCTGCGGTACTCTCGCGAGAAGACGCCACGCAGGAACTGGATCCGGCGCCGGCCGTTGGATGGGGAAGTCGAGCAGTTCTGGCGCGAGTTGATGATGTCATCCGAAAGAGGCGGAGGCAAGAAGAGCAAGCGAAGGGACGGGGGAGGTTAGTAGACCGGTGCGCGCCACCATCACACACACCCCTCCCCACAAACGCCGTTTCCTTTTAGGATTATCCCGGCGGGTGGGGGGCCTATTCGGCTAGAAACCAGTCAGGTTCCTCTCCATTCTCGACCAGGCCCTAACACTGCCCCATTCTTTCGGGACGGGCAGTAGGCACCTTATTGTTGGGCATATAGACCCCATTTGGGGGGGGGGGCGCAAATAGGGTATGGTGGTGTTGCTCATCTCCTATCCTTCTGATGACTTTGGAAAGTTGGGGGGGGGGTACCTTGCTTGTGGGGTCTGCTTGGTGGACGCCTACTGTAGATAGGAACTTTTCCCAAACTGATGTCCCTCTTCCTTTGCATTACAGTATCCTACCTTTTTTTTAAAAAAAAATTATTAACAAACATGTAAAATACACACACACAAAAGTTAGACGTACACCACATTCAGTCATAATGCTCTTAGAATTATCTCTTAATGAGGTTAAAAAAGACTTTTCTCACCCACTATATATATATGTGTGTGTGTGTGTGTGTGTGTGTGTGTGTTTTATTTGTGCTGATAAATAAATAAAGGGAGACTAGTATAGATCTATTTCAAGCTATTTAGCTCTCATCAGCTAGCCATATATATATAATGTGTATGTATGTATGTATGTATGTATGTATGTATGTATGTATGTATATACATACATACATACATACA